GCAAAACCTAAAATTGGTTGTCTTAACACAGCAAAACCTACCTTTGTTCAAGTAAATTCTAATGGCAGTTGGAAGAGACTCTTTTCTCTCAGTTAATTTAGGGTTCCAGGCTGCTTCCATCCTTTTGCTTTACCATGGAAACACAGGGTAAGTCATGCTTGCTAAGTGAAAGAGAAATCATGGGAATCTCCCACTGGCTTCTGCCTAACAATACATGGACTATCAATGTAATTTTCCCATTTGCCCTGGAAAAATAGAAAGATAAGATGTGGATGAGTAGATGTAGTCTCTCCCATCAGCTGTCAATAATAGGTACCCCAGAAAATAAACTATTATAATGTGTTATTATGAATCTCTTCATTTCTTGGAGGAGTTTCTGAGAAAGTTAGAAGTACTTTGAAATCCTGCAACTTTTCAAGTGCCTACTGTGTGACGCGGGGTTTCAAACACAGGATCACATTGAGTTTTTGAAGGATTATGTAATTGTTTTCAGGGAGACTTTATCCTTCCTTTACTCATAGCACCTTTCTTCCATACCCTTTGGAATAACCTTTATCATTTCATTAGGCTGAGAAGTTTCTCCTTCCTTGCGATGCATGGTCCAAATTTTAACTTGTGAGATTCTGCTGCCCTCCACATGACTGAACAACTATCTACACACATGCCATTAGGCAAACTGAAAACCAAGATTTTCCTGAGAAGGTACACAGACCAGAAGCAGTGGAAATATATATTTTTCTTTTTTTGAAAACCAGAATTAGCATGTCCAAAAAGAACCAATTTTCAACTTGCAGGAGGATTCCAGGATTGTAGAAATTCAACTTTAATAGATGTTTACTCCATAGTGATTTCTATAGTCTTCCTTGGAGTGTTTTTAATGGTAATTCCTTTATATTTTTTAAATTTATTTTTAATTAAATTGATAGGGATGGCATTGGTTAATAATTTCATATATGTTCAAATGTACAATTCTATATATTGCATTGTGTATTTATGACCCTAAGTCAACTCTCCTTTGGATTTTAACTGACAAGGTTAGCTAATCCAACTTTGTATGTGTTCATTGGCGAGTTTCAAAGACATTATAATCACATCCTACTGCAAATATTAGAAAGATTTTAAAAACTCTTTAATTTCAAGGTTGTAGCCCCAAATCAGTATACTGTGTGCCAAGTCAGAACCTATGCACTCTGGAAAACACTTGGGGAGTGGTTGAAGAGGCTAAGGGGTTGGGGAAAACCAGGCATCTGAATATCAGATTCCCAAGTGAACTTTAAGTCAAAGCGGCTTTTACTATCAGAGAAGTTTCAAGGTGAAGGATGGGACAAAAAAGGGTCTTCTGCAAGGAATAGGGATGCTTTTTGTCAGGGGAAGGGCAGATAATTTTAGGCTGTTCCACCAAGAATATGGTACAGCTTTCATAGGAAAAGATAGTGAAGAATAGGTCCTAGGGTAGAAAGACAGGGTACATGGGGGAAGACCAGGGGAAAAGTGCTATAATTCAGGGAAGTTCTGGGACCAGAAAGAAATATAGAGGCAGCTCTCAAGGAATGCTGGAACTTGGGCAAGAGGACTTTAGGTTAATAAAGCCACAGATAAGACCCAAATCATTTTTAATTTACATTGTCACCTTCCTTCTTTAGGCCTGCTTGTAGTACTCTTGTACAGAAACCTCCTTTTACAGAGACCTGGGAGATATTATGAAGAACTGAGAAAAATATATTAAGAGATGGAATGTCTGCCTCAGGCTAGGAGGTATGGGAGCAACATGGATTGCTGATAAAATTAGACTAGAGATCTTGTCTCAGCCTTGTCACTTACTAGCCATATGATAATAGGAAATTATCAAGTGCTATGAGCTTCAGGTTCTTCATCTGCAAATGAATTTGATAAGCTCTGACTTATAGAACTGTTGCAATATACCCAGTATGCATGTATGTGGAAAGCTCTGGCATAGTGCCTGGCATATATTGGATCTTTAATTAATGGTGAGGAATCAAGCTTCTAGTTAAAAATCCTAATGTGTGGTTTTTCAGGTCTAAGCATAGACAATTACAGTGGTTTTTCCCTTGTCAGGCCTCCTGGAGAAAGGCTGCCCTTTACACCTCAGATTGCATGTATCTGAAATGGATTACAGTTCAAGATTCAGGCCTCTCTGGTAGGTCATTCCCTTCTCATATTTGCAGTCCTAGTCCCTGAACTTTCATTCCAAAGTGTCTTTATATGAAGCCTTGGGCAGAGGTCCTCTTCAGAGCCTCTGCTTCCTCCTCTTTCTGAGAGGAGGAGAAAGAAATCTTGGAAACACTTTTTCCATGTGCCTTTTCACTTCTAACCCTTCCCCCTTTGCTTTCTCTGATTCTAGGTTCCATAAAACTGTTAGAGCCTTTTGCTCTGGTTCCATCAACAGTGAGCAGATCCACCAGGTCTGTGCTGATCTACCTGACCATCACTGGTGTGCTGTTCCATGAAGGAAAATAAAACAAGGAATGGGCACTTTCTTCTGTTTTACATTCCCACTTATACCATCACAGGAAGTGATTAAAGGTTTGACTTCACTGTATTTGGCTTGTTGCTTTAATCAGCTATTCTGACACCTGGCAGCTTAGCTCTCACTGGAGCTCAACAGAACTCCTGACACATGGCCATTGTTTCTAATATTATTTTGACTCCAGAACCTACCCCCATGTTCTCTGGGAACTTTTGTTATCCAAGACTTCTCAGAGAATATGAAGTGAGAGCTCTTAGACACTAGACACCAAATCAGTCCAAAACAATGCTCCATAAATAAAACTTAGTACATGTTCTTAGAGCATACATTATTTAATTTGGTTATGGGTTAGTCTTCCTCATTGAACTCAGAGCTCCTAGAATTCAAGTCAAATACCAACTCCTTCCTTCTCTTTAACTGCTCTTCCATCCAAAACACCATTTTCATTCATTTCACTGCCATAACAAATATTTTCCTTGCTTAGAGTTAGCCTAAGTGCACTCAAGATAACCCAATCATAATGTCATTTTAATGGAGGAGGCTCTGGTTCTCCCAGGCCAGGCAAAAAAGTGCCAGCCTGAGCATCACTTCAAGGGAATATGACAATTTTTTCCTGTTAATCCTCACCTGAGGATATTTTTTCCATTGATTTTTTTTAGAGAGAGTGGGAGGGTAGGAAGGAGAGACAGAGAGAGACATGAATATGAGAGAGATACATTGATTGGTTAGCAATGTTCTAACCACGGAGACCACATTCCAGGGCTCATACTATATTTTAAATAAAATCTTTACAGATGATATGTCTAGAACACCTAGTTCAAACATTCTTCTCAAATGTGCTATGTGATTAATTTTTAAAAATTCTTATTGTTGAAAGTATTAAGACATTAACCAAATTTACTATGTTTTTAGAAGAGTTCAGGACACCTTCCATACCAGTCTCAGGTAGAGATTTCTTTCTGTTTTATCCATGACCTAAAAGTAACTGATAATTTAATTTTTCTATTCTGGACTTTTCTCTCAACTGAGTCTGACATCTGCCACTAGCCAGCTTCATTATAAATGACTCTCACAGAAGGAATCTTAGTTTCTGAAAGTCCCAAACTTTTTTACTGCTGGGATCTTTCACTTTGATTGGTTGGAATATGGTATCCATGTTTAGTGCCAAGAAAATCCAGGTACCACATTTTCCGGTGTATAAGACGACCTTTGAAACGAAAAAAAAAAGTCAACAGAAAATCGGGGGCAAAAAACCAAAATTGCACAAAAATTACCTGCAGATCTTGATGGCAAAGTAAGTCTTTTCTTTGAACTGGGGGGTAGTCTTATACAGCGAATATAGGCCTAAACCTATGTTTTAACTGTAAAATTAGGGGGTCGTCTTATATGCCAGAAAATACGGTATATATAGTTTAATTTTACAGAGTGAATAAATGAATAAAAAGTTAGCTTTTATGTTTTCTTCCTCTGTTGCTTAAAACCATATATTTTACTGCTTGGATCTTTCACATTTATAGGTAAACTAGAGGCCTGGTGCACAAAATTTGTGCACGGGGGTGGGGGACATTCCCTCAGCCCAGCCTGCACCCTCTCACAGTCCAGGACCTCTGGCTCCTAACTGCTCACCTACCAGCCTGATCTCCCTTAATTGCCCCCCCCCCCAGGCTGGCCTGTTTGCCCTTTACTGCCCCCCCCCCCCTCTGCCAGCCTGGTCACCCATCACTGCGCCCCCTGCTGGCCTGATCACCTCCAGCTGCCCCCTGCTGGCCTGGTCGCCCCACACAGCCTGCTGTCCAGTCATTTGGTTGTCCGTCACTAACACCCCTGCCAGCCTGGTCTCCCCATACAGCCTGCTGTTAGATTGTTCATCTGGTCATTTCGGTTGTGATGGCCCCTGGAATTTTATATATTAGGATTCCTAATGTAATGCCAAGTTATCTTGTTATTGTGCTTACTGTTACTGTAGCACTTCAGCGAACAAGGATTCACAAAAAGATGGGTGATTTCCTATTTCTTTTGCTAAATTGTGACCTCTTATACTTAAACCTGATAAACAACTATAAATGTTTGACCACTGTTATTAATAAGCTCAGATTCTAAAGCTAGTTAAACTTTTTATTACAAGGAACAACATTTTAAGCAAAAAAGATAATCTGCAAATCACCTATATTGAACAGGAACACTAAGGTGTTCCCTCCATATCCACCCTGCTTTTCCACTACTTAGTACTTTGGCTACAGTCTTCAAATGGAGCGTGAGGAATGATATGCTTCAGACTTCACTCAGGTCAGGAGAAGCTCTGGAAATGATATTTGAACTTTCATCATTGACACTTGAACTTTCATCATTGACACTTGAACTTTCATCATTGACACTTGCACTTTCATCATTGACACTTGCACTTTCATCATTGACACTTGAACTTTCATCATCATCACTTGAACTTTCATCATCATCACTTGAACTTTCATCATCATCACTTGAACTTTCATCATCGTCACTTGAACTTTCATCATCGTCACTTGAACTTTCATTGGCTGTGGTATCATCCAAGGCAACTTCAGCCTGGGCTTCCTCTCTCTCATTTCTCAAAGCTTCCTCATACCAGTTTGTGAGGGAAGTGGGGTCAGTCCCAATGATCTTGGCCAAGGACTTCAGGACTTTCATCTTGGTGGTTTCAGCATGGGCCCTGGGACCCCACAGAAACTCATAACGTGGAGGATCACTATTGGGCACCTGCTGGCACTTCAGGTACTTTTCCTGCACTAGATCTTCAGTGATGAGCTTCCTAGGCTCCCCAAAGATAAAATTATTCTTCCCAACAGTTACCCCAATCATATTCATCATTTCCAAGATTCTTTCCTCAGAGGTTTGGTTGCCCTCCATGAAGATTATGCCCAAGATAAGTATCAGGAGGCCGGTCTTGGGCATGCCCTGGTCATCACTCAGCATCCCATCATAGGTGAGGTCTAGTAATTTCACAAGCACATAAGAATGGCTGATGGGGTCCACTTCCTTCACTTCAATGCCAAAGATAATCTCCAGGCACTTACAGGCTTTCGTGAAGATCACAGGAAAGTGATCTTTGTGCTCTCTGATGACACTCTCTAGCATTTCTGCCATTGTGATGGGCTCCTTTGTTGCATACTTGATACTCAGGTACTGAACCAAGTCATATACCTTATTTTGTAGCGCTTCAGTGAACAAGGACTCAGGATTTAGTGGAGTCTGAGAGGTGCTTGGATCCTCTTCTTGGCTGCTGGAGCCCTCATTTGATTTGCTTGATAGAGTGACTGTGTCGGCAGTGGAGGAGGAGCAAGAGCTCTGTAAACTCTGAAAAAGATTAAGTATCCCAGTGGCAGACAACTCTTCTGGAGTGCCAGGGGTCAAAGAAGAGAGAGGAGAGGAGGGGGTGTTGGTGCTGGTGGTTTCTTCTTCTTCAACTATGGGAGCCTGTAAACCTACCAGGCCCTGTGCTTCTCTTGGGGCCTGAAGGTCTTCCTTAAGGTTGTAGCTCTTACTCTTCTGATCATGAGACATTACTTGTGTTGGGGCAGCTGGCCAATTGGGACCTACAGACCTAGAGGAGAGAGGGAGCATGTCAGTACACTTAGCTGAGAAACTCATCCATGGTGGCTCTGAGAAAGACAACTCACAGGCATCCTCCTTAGTGGTGCTCTTGTCACAGGGCTCCCACTTTCCTTGTGGCCTGTCTCCTAAGATCTAGAAGAATAAGTGAGATGGCTCCTCAGGGAGTAGCCAGCCAACAAAGCCAGAGGATTTCAGGACTGAGAGTACACTGGGTTGGGTGATGCACTATGGGGCTCCTTCTGTTCTAGGGTAGGCGGGAACTTGGTTGGCATTTAGGGTATGCATCTCACCTTGATTTTGGTACTGCCTGGATCTCTTCCTATATGCTGACCTGAGGACACATGCTTCAGACCAAGGCCCTCACCTCCCAATTCCTCTGATAATTGAGGCATATCTCAGGATACAGATTATAGGCACAGTTCTCTCCCCCCAGGAGTTGTCAGGAGGAGTGGGGTTACCTGTGAAGTCCCCATTTTTCTGGAGTAGATGTTTCCCTCAGTGCACACTCAGAGTCCCAGTCTTTCCCATGCCATAGTCTGGACCAGTGGTTGCCAGCCTTTCGGACCTCATGGACCACCAGTGGTCTGTGGACTATCATTTGGTGACCCCTGGTCTGGGCTATACCACTCTGCTTAGCTCCTTTGATTTCCTAAGGAGGAAGTGAAAGGGGACTAAATCTGACCACACTTGCCTAGGGCCTCCTGAGGCTGATAGCAGACACTACCTGGGTTTCAGTGGGACCTCCTTTGTCTAGAATAGGAGAGTCCATTGTGTTATTAATCTTTACTCCTGAAAGTTCTTGCTCCATCCCCCACCACAGCAGACTTAACATGCATCCTAAAGATTCTATTCTAAGAGGAATCACTTCCCCCATCCCTTATGGAAGAAGTGACAGCCTATCACACATGGCCATCTCTGCTTAATGTCTTCCAGGTATGACATCAGGGGTGGTTCCAACTGTTCAGGGGAAGAGGTTGCCCTCAATCTCCTTCAGAGTATCCGGCTTTACATCTGGAAGGACATCAGGCCACTCTTACCCTTTTATCTGTCATCTTGTCCTCAGACTTCCCTGAGACAATAGTGAAAAGACACCACATCCAACAACTCTTGCCTGGGGTCTCCCAGAGTTAGCAGCAAGAACAGGGCAGGTTTCTGTGGAATGCACTCTCTCTGACTTGGGGAGATACCCTCAACCCTCTTTTATGTAGTCACACTACTCCTGACAGGGCTTAGGGCACCTACATTCTACTGACCTGAGAATCCCTTCAACAGCTGAAACCGGTTTGGCTCAGTGGATAGAGCATCGGCCTGCGGACTGAAAGGTCCTGAGTTCAATTCTGGTCAAGGGCATGTACCTTGGTTGCAGACACATCTCCAGTGGGGAGTGTGCAGGAGGCAGCTGATCAATGTTTCTCTCTTATGGATGTTTCTAACTATCTCTCTCCCTTCCTCTCTGTAAAAAATCAATAAAATAATAAAATAAAATAAAAAGAATCCCTCCATCAGGCCATGGCACCAATCTCCCTGGAAACAATGTCAAGGAAGTATGGAGGTTTGGGGGAGGTGCCTCTCTTATAGGATTACCAGGGAGGATGAATAGAGAAACTGAGACAGGAAAGTTAAAACAAGGCCAAACAGTGTGGGCAATTTGCAGCCAGCTTGTAACTAACAAGCCATTATCTTCCCCAGCCAAGGACATGAGAACAAATGGTAAAATACACACACACACACACACACACACACACACACACACAGAAACCTTTCTAATGAGAGAATGCAGAAAGGGAAGGGGAAAGGATAAAAAGTCACAGTTATACTCCCTAAACAGAGAAGCCAGCAGTCTCAAGGCTTGGCAAGATAAAGTTGCCAGACACTTCTCAAATTCTGGGAAGGCCACAACAAAGTAAAAAGAGACCTTGAGAATTAATCTGTACCAAAATATTCAGCAGAGGAATTTTTAGATATATAGACAGGATGGTTTAGAATGCCTTGGACCCCAACCCAACCTGCTCTTCAGATTAACTGAGAGCCCATCTATGCTTCATAAGCCAGATGTATAGGTTTGATTGCTTTGCTTTTTTCAACAAAGGTGTGTGCTTTAATTAATTGGCTTTTCACAACACAGTCAAGGTATCTTGTATAAATTTATTCATATGAGAAGTCAGGGATCGAGGTTGGGAACAGACCTCTCCACTGGCTCAGGGGGCTGTGTGGTAACACCTTTCTGGTGTGAGAGGTGCCATAACACCTCTGCATTACAGCTTTGCGCAATGTTGATCACAGGAGTGAACCAATGTTGGATGTCTGATGTTGGATGTTGGTTAGGTGGGGCCCGCTCTATCTACACAAAAAATTTTCCTTAGTCTTTTCTCAGACTCCTTACCTTGATGCTTGGAAGCACCTGGAAATCTTTGTTCTGTTGATCTGATGTCACAACTCTTCCACTAAGCTTCACTTTCTTCAGATTCCTAAGGCAGAAGTAAAGTATCACATTCAGGAACCTTTCCTGGGGCTTCCCAGGTTTGATTACAAGGGTGGGGCTGGGTCTTCCTCTATCTGCAGTGAGAGCTCCCCTCAGCCCTTTCTCAAATTTCTCACTTTGATTCTTGGCAGGGCTTAGAACTTTTCTTTCTGGTGACCTGAGACCAGCCCCTTCAGACCTGGGATTTGTCTCGGGAACATCCCTAATCCAGAAAAGGGAGGGAGGTACCCTTATCTTCTCAGCACTGCCCAGGGTCTCTAAGACTGACAGCCAAAATCGGGGCCAATTTCTACGGGTTTTGAATTGGGGGAATATCTCAGTCTTCCTCAAGGTATTCGTTTTTATTCCTGACAGGCCCCTCCCCGCCACTCTGTTGGCCTGAAGATCAAGGCCATATCTCTGAGACCTTGACATGTAACCGGGGGTGATTTTTCTGTCAACCATGTCTGGAGCCTCACAGGGATGATAGCAGAGGAAGGTGTCGGTGGGAAACTCCTCTGTCTGTGGTGGGAGGTTTCTTCAGGATCCTTACCTTGATGACTGGCAGAGTCTGGGACTCCTCACCTCGCAGACCAGATTCTGGTTATCTCAGTTGAAGCCTTATCTCCCTGGAACTCCAAAAGTCAGTCGGGAAACAGTACATCCAAGGATCACGCATAGGTCCTCCTCAGGCTGATAGCAGGCTCAGAAAAGTCCGAGGCTCGTTCTGTTCTGTAGTAGCTCTTGACTCCCTAATTAAATACTCTCTGGGAGATTCCGTCCTCTCTGCCAGCTGGAAGCATTTGCTCAACTGCAAGTCTTTCAGAAAATGGTTTTGGTTCCCAGGTTAAATGCTAGATTGGAGGACAGCAGCACCCATGACAGGAGGTGGAGATTCAGAAAAGAAGCATACCTTTCTATGCGGTCTCTTCACCCACCAGACATACAGTTGGAAACATTTTGTTATCAAAGTTTATTTTCTACATTGAAGATGTTAAGCAGCATGATGTCCCTAATTTTTTTTAGATTATCTAATATTGTATTGTTCAATGCAGTAATTTTCATTTTTCTTAAGCCTCCCTAATATTAAAAATTGTATTTTACATCTCCACCAAGCATGTGTGTACCTGTAGTTCACCCTGATGCTTGCTATTCTATTTTTAGTCTATTCCTTTTATTCTATTAAAATATTTTTTAAAAGCACAGTCTTAATCACTACAGTGGGTTCAGGTGGTTATTAGCATGGACTCTGGAGTCACTGCATTAATCCAGCCAATCTTTCTGGATATCTGATACTATGCCAGGACGACTTGCATCTGTAGTCTGAGGTGATGCCTCCGGTTTGTGCAGTGAAGCAGGTGCATAAGTTTAAAAAGTTTACTCCTATATATCCTGTCATCTGTCATCTTTTACAGATAATCAACCCTCCCAAACTTCACTGCTGCCTTTCACTCCTCCGTGGGAAACACAAGTACCAGTTCAACACAGGGTTTCTCATTTTTTATTTTTATTTATTATTATTATTATTATTATTATTATTATTATTATTATTTGTGTGTGTGTGTGTGTGTGTGTGTGTGTGTGTGTGTGTGTTTTATTTTGTTTTTTAGATTTTGTTGTTGATATTTTTGGTAGGCTGAAAAATTCATCCAGACGCTAAAGCTCTCATATTCCAGAACCCCGGAGCCTGTTAAATTCTTTCTTTGGGGAAAAAAAAAGGACTTTGTAGATGTGATTAATTTAAGAATCTTTTGATGGGGGGATGATTATCTGGGAGTATCTAGGTTGCCTTAAATGCAAATCACATGTGTCCTTTTAAGGAGGCAGAAGAAGAATCAACAGAGGAGACATTGTGAATGTGAAGCAGAGAGATACTTGAAGGAAGATGCTGACCTTGAAGGCTGCAGTCATGTCACCACAAGCTAAGAAATGTCTGCAGCTACCAGAAGCTGAAAAAGACAAGGAATAGATTCTACCCTGGAGTCCCCAGATGAAGTATGGCCCTTTTGGGTACTGTGATTTCAGCCCAGTGAAACTGATTTGGGGCACCTGGCTTCCAAAACTCTAAGAGAATAAAAATCTGTTATTTTAGCCAACCAGTTTCTAGTAGTTTGACACAGCAGCCCTAGGAAACTGATATATAATCATTTATTTGTTTTCATTCGCCCTTTTACAATTTTCCAGGCTTGATTTTGGGAGTGGAAGACAGCAATACAAATTTGGCAACTACAGGTAAATATTTTAAGGAGAATTGACATGTTTAACTTATGATATTTTGCTTCACATTAGTGAATATGGTATACTTCTCTATTTATTTGGGACATTTAAAAAATTCTGAACCTATCAGTAAACTTTTATATTTGCCTATAAGAAGAGCTCATACATTTTTGTGATTTATCACTTCTCTTAGGTAACTTTTGGGTTTGTTGCTGTGGTGAATGGGGTATTGCCTATTACATATTCTAATTAGTTATTGTTTTCATTTGTC